TTTTTTTTGGAATAACAGGTATGTGGAATTGGGTTGATGGCAGTTGGTATCTATGTCCAGCTTAAAGTTGGTGACCTGGCCGAGCTGCAAACTGTCAAGTTTCTTACTGGATCCATCCTGATCATAGCAGTTGGTGCTGTTATTGCAGTAGTTTCATTCTTTGGCTGCTGTGGGGCTGTGAAGGAAAACAGATGCTTCCTATGCTTGGTAGGTTAAAGTTTGCAGCTGATACCAGACTGAGTTTTGAGATATACTGTAACATGTATTCTCATTGGCTAATGGCCATGTTTATAATGTTGTACACCGTAGTTCAGGTTCAATATATTTTTGAACCAGTTTAATCTAATTTGTTCCAGTACATGACTTCTTGTACTGGTCTTCTTTTCTTTTCTTTTTTTTTATATTTGGCATTCTTAAAAGAACTAAAAGAACTATATCCCATCTCATTCTCTCCCATTTTCTATCTATCATCTTATTTTCTACCTTCTACTACATTGTATTTCCTACTTTATCTTACCCTATACCCCAAAGAAATATTGAGATATTTTCTATATATTTTTAATTTATGAATAACACTTACCTTCATCAGGGTTTGAACCACTGAACTCTTGCTTCATAGTCCACAGTACTACCAATTATACCATCAAGGATTTAGTTGGTAGTAATGTTTGCAAATTGTTTTTATCTTTTGTTAAATATAATTTATTAATGAAAAAAAAATATATAATGCTGGCTCAACCCTATTCCCAACCCTAAACCTAACCCAAAACCTAACCCTAACCCTAACCCTAAACCTAACCCAAAACATAACCCTAAACTGATTTGTACTGGATTGAGTTATATCGGACTGGCTCAAAATAAACTGAACCAGTTCAGAAGAAATTGAACTGGTTCAAAATCATATTGAACCTGAACTACAACATTTATATAATGCATGCTCTTATTGGCTGATGAACATGTTTATACAGGAGATATAATACATGCTCTCATTGGCTGATGACCATCACCTACTGCAATGATCACTTACAATAAAGGCAGTCAAAAGTGTGATCACCATTCTTCCCCTACATCCTGTGTAGTTAGCTAGCTGTTAGAATGTTTGCAATGACTGTAAGACAATCTTTATTA